TCCTTTTTTGTTGTTGCCAAATCATACCTTGATACCTTCCCTTCTGAACAATGTACTTTAGACCAATACATGTTTTTGGGCTCAGGAGACAAGAGAGTGAGTGAAAGCTGATGTAATAGATTGTGCTACATTTTATGATGGCTGCTAAAGGTTTCCAAATCTTGGCAATTATTAGTTACTAAGATAAAATACAGCCACAGGAGTAAGGAAATTTGGAGAACTGCTAGAGCATTCAGCATTTTTCTGTAAGTTAGATACGATCTTGAGTACAAGGTGACTGATCTTGTAATAATAACATAGTCAGCACTGCTACAACTCAAGAAATCATTAAATTCCAGTATGTAGAATGTTTTGATCCTTTTTTTTCCCTGCTGAGTGCATTATGGGATAAAATCATATTTGCCCGATAACTTTAAAGCATTTAATTATTTTGCCTAATTTTTTGACAATAGATTCAGATACACCAGGACTACTTTTTCTTGATAATTAATTAAGGACTCCTTAAAGGCCAGTGAAATCAAAGTATTACCATTATTAGTTTAATAGCTTCTCATTCAAACTACCCACCTCTCTTCTACTTGGCAATAGTTTAAAACAAAAAGAAAATAGGAGTAATGAAAATCAGTCTGAAATGAAAAAAAAGGTACAAATATTTTAATTTAAAAATTGGTTTTGCTGCATAACTTTGAAGGAACAACTGTAAAATGTTGCTCTGTTACTAACTAACGAACAGCTCTCTTCACCACAACATAATGGAGCAGCAAATCACCAGAACAGGGAAGCAGACTTTTAGTATTTTTTTCTGGTAAATGCTTATTCTTTTCTTCTACATACATGCCACATACTCAGAGCACTTTCTAATACTAATGGGCACAGGTGATGGAATCAGTATTTTCTCCATTACACTGGGTTATATATTCCTAAATAGTTGAGCCCAGGTGCATGTCCTAGCTTCAAGTTACAGGTGCATGTCTCACTCGCTTACTCAACTTTGGGGCAAGTTGAGGTGCACAGCTTCCTTCTTTTCACCACATTCTTGAGATGGGGAAGAAAAGGCTAAGGGTGACAGGAGGGACTCAGCCAAGTGCCCAGTCCATCCACGCATACTACAATACTTATGTAGCCAGTGTGATATAAAATACTTCGGAGAGGGCCACAGATGTTGAATTAGCAACTTCATTAAGATCCATTCATGGCTTCCAACAACC